TTTCAGTACTGTCCATTTAATAAATCACACGGATTGAGCTCTTTAACTTTGAAATACTGCAGCTTGATAAATTTATGGTATGGTATGGATTTCACCGAATCACACTACTCACAACCAAATCGACAATATCTGTATCAATAGAAGAATTAGAAGGACTATGGAGGATGTAAGAACCAAGAGAGGAGCTGATATAACCTCAGATCACCACTTGCTGGTCACCAAAAAGAAAATGAAACTAAAGAAGAGCTGGACAACTGGGTGAAGAGCACAACAAACGTTTATTACAACCTCTCTTCGGTATACTGGAAAACTAAACGAATTCAAGATGCCCCTCAGCGATAATTTACAAGCCTTGCACGATCTACTTAATGAAAAGGAATTTACCATGGGAAACAACTAGCAAGGGGTGAGTGAAGCAATCACTTCAACATATCATGAGGTTATTGGCCACAGGAAGCACCATCACAAGGATTGGATCTCTGTTGGTACTCTTGAAAAATTTGAGGAACAAGAAAGCAGCAATCGACATCAACTGAACAAGAGCAGAGAAAGTTAAGGTACAAGCTGAATACACAGAAGCAAACAAGCAAGTGAAGAGGAGCATCAGAGCTGACAAACAAAAATATGTGGAAGATCTAGCAATGATGGCGGAAAAGACTGCAAGAGGGTAAAATTTGAGACAATTGTACGATACAAAAAAGCTCGTTCGAAACTATCGTAAACCAGAACGACCAGTGAAAAGCAAGGAAGGCAAAGTGATCAGCAACACTGAAGGACAGCGAAACAGGTGAGTAGAGCACTTTGGAGAACTCTTGAATAGGCCAGCTTCACTGAACACACCGAACATCGAAAAAGCAGAAACAGACCACTCAATTAATGTTGACCCACCATAAATTGAAGTCAGTCAGTCAGATGCAACGTAGAACTTCGTACCTAAGTACATCAGTTCCTGTTATCATAGCACACCAGCACAGAAATATAATTGTCAATTCAAATTCAATAGCAGTAGAGGTAGTAAGGGAATTAGAAGTAATCGGAGAGGTTAGGATTAGAAGATACTATTCAAGAAGTATGATTCAGTGAGATAAGTTTAGAGAGTCAAAACTAGAGGTGTTGAAGAATCCAGAAGATTAGGATTTGAGAGAACACAAAGAATAAATGCACCGGCGCCATTGCGAACGATTTTGAGCCATGTCATTCAAGGTCTCTAACCATCGATTATTATCATCTCGCGGACCCCAACAAGGTAGTCAACAATTACCGACATGGCTAAGTCCACTCGTTAATGACTTCATGGATTGCTGCCATGTTTTGGTTTGGCCGCCCCTAGCTTTCTTCCAACCTATTCCTACACTACAAAACAAAGCTCGACGAGGCAGTCGATGGTTAGGCATACGCAGCACATGTCCCAACCACTTCAACTGAAGTTTCAATATTTCATCTATTGATCTGCCATTCTTACCTAGCACCCGTTTCCTAATAACAGCGTTGCTCACTCGGGTTACTCACGATATACGAGCAATGCTTCGAAGACAACTATGATCGAAAACCAATAACCGACGAATATCTACTACTCTCACTGGCCATGTTGCACAGCCATAAAGTAAGACGGAGCGAACTACTGCGCAGTACACTCGTCCTTCGGTCAGCAAACGGACATCTCGCCTACGCCATAAGTGACGCAGGTTGGCAAAAGTAAATTGACACTTCTGTATCCGTGCTGAGATTTCGTCACAAACCAGGCCACCGGCACTGATGAGACTCCCCAGATACGTGAAGCGCTCTACACGTTCGACTACTTCACTCCCTATCACTAGTTCAGGTTCCGATGCAACCCAGTCTTGAATCAACATTTTGCATTTCGAGGGGGAAAACCGCATCCCGAACAAGCTTGCATTGTTGCTTAGGGTAGTCAGAAGACTCTTCATTTTGTCAGCGTCTTCACCAAGTAGGACTATGTCATCGGCATATTCTAAGTCGATAAGCGAGCCACCTGGTAGAAGGTCTACTCCTGAAAATTCAGACGAGGATAAGGTTATTTCTAGGAGCATGTCTATGATAAAATTAAACAAAAATGGAGGGAGTGGACATCCCTGACGGACACTACTTGAAGTAAGGGATTCCGATGACAGTTCGCCATAAGCTCTCACTCGACCAGTAGTTTTAGAGTAGAGAGCTTGTATAAGGTTAATGTACTTCTTCGGTACACCTTTCAATGACAGACACCGCCACAGAACCTCACGATCCACTGAGTCAAACTCCGCTTTTAGGTCCAGTAACACAACTATTGTCGGACGTCTAAATGTGTGTCTGTGTTCCAGGACCTGTCGTAGTGTGAATATTTGGTCTATACATTCGCGTCCAGGTCTGAATCCAGCCTGGTTTTCTCTAGTCTGCTCTTCACGAGGTTTCGTTAAGCGTCGGAGTATTGTTGAGGCCAATATTTTAGATACTATATTAGTTAGACTGATTCCCCTGTGATTGTCAAAAGAAGACTTTTGTCCTTTCTTATAGATTGGGACAATCAAGGATTGAGACCAGTCGGATGGGATTATGTCCAGTTCCCAGATTCTACCTAAGATCTCAGTCAGCCCAGCTGCTAAACCTGGACCACCATCCTTAAATATCTCAGGGGTCAGTCTATCAGGACCTGAAGTTCGCCCTCGCTTCAGATTTCCTAACGCTTTCTCAACGTCATTAAGACTAGGGGGACTTACGTCGATTTGCCATTCAGGATGACTGGAGATCGTGTGTAACCGAAGAGTGGCTCGGGGCCAGGTGAACTGATCCCTGAAGTGTTCTGCCCATCAATCCAGTCTCCTGAATTGAAAATGGATAATAAGACCATCCCTTTTTGAGATAGTCTCACTCACATTCGGGTTCCTAATACCGGTTTCTTTATTAAGGCTGGAAAGTTGTCTAATGTTGCCGATCGCCGCTGCCTTTTCCATCGCTTTTGCTTTCGCTGCCCACCACTGTTCGCGGTCATTACGTAGGCTTATATCGGCCTGCACCTAAGCTGACTACGCTCTTCATCATGTTCAGAGCCAGGTGGGATGAGTTTTCGAGCATCCATCAAATCGCGCGATGCTACAGAGATCCACGGATTCATTCTAGCCTTATGGTTTACCTTACTAGCAGATGTCACTGCTGTTTCCACAGCCTTCTTGATGTCATACCAACCTGCTTCTGGATGGGAATCACTTACATGGTGGCCTAACTGTTTTTCTAGTTACTCCTGAAATATATTCTTAGCCATGCTATCATCAAGCAGAACCTTAACAGGTTTCCTTACGGTGTCTTTCCTACGACCAGTAAGCCTCACACAAATACGCACTCGCACTAGGGCATGATCTGAATCTAAACATGTCCCAGAACGAGCGACAGTCCTCTATCGAACCCCTCCATCGGTGGCTGATGGCAATATGATCTAGTTGGGTCCAACGTTGAGACGACTTTGGAGGTCGCCAGGTCAACAGATGCTTTTCCTTATGCCTAAAGTTAGTGTTTGCTAGAAATAGTTGGTTATCTGAGCACAGTTGCAACAGACGGTCGCCATTGTCTGTTCTTTGAGCCGCGACACCATAACATCTCTCCTGCTCATTTAGTCTACCTACTTGAGCATTGAAGTCACCAGCCATTATAACTATATCAGAGCGCTTAATTTTTTGGAGGAGGTCCGAAAGCTTTCTGTAAAACTCATCTTTCACATCGTCTGAACTGCAGTCAGTGGGGGCGTAGGCTGATATGACGAATAGTGTCCCTACCCTTTCGAATCCTTACTGTCCCGTTTAGTCGGACGGCGCACAAGCGACTATCTACAGGGATCCAGTCAAGGAGAGATTGTTCTGCCCTACGACTCAATGCTATACCTACACCAGCGAGACCCCGGGAAGCAGCATCTGGGCTACCGGATAAACGAAGAGTAAATTGAGTTGCTTCTTTATCTTGACATGGTGAAGTCAAGTGAATGATGCTACTCGGATCCTGTATGCGCGTTTCCGAGACGCAGCACACATCGATGGCACGAGATTCTAAAGTCCTAGTTAATGATGCCTGTTGCCCTATTTGACACAATGTCCGTACATTTTTAGGGACCACCTTTTATCACTCTTTCTTCATTGTGAGAAGGCAGCATCGCTGCAGATGCTGATTGTCCGAGGGAAACACCTTACTGCTGTCACACCCCTCTGCAGTCAGCAGTACGACTTCGCCCTCAGACCTTGGATAGCTGCTTTTAGTCTCATCGTTCTCCAATCGACCTGCCTGGCATGGTAGAACCTTCAGGAACATATGTTCCAGCCAGTATAGCTCGGTTGGATCATCACGATAGGCAAACCCGACCACCACGTCAAGGTAGCAGCTACGTTTATAACTTGCCTACTAATGTATTAGGTAGTGTCTACTTAACAACCAACAGCTGAAACATGAATTTTGGTAAAGTCACGCTGTTAATAAAACTAATCAATTTAGTTCAAAACAAATACTCCTCAAAAGTGCAGAAGACTGAGGGTGAATGCGTTATTTGAAAAGGTCGGAACAAATGACTTGATGTTTAATCTAAGGACAGAATTCGTGACACTGAATTAACAGTTGCTACTAAATAGAACTTTTATTTAGATTTTAGATGCAAATAACACCTCAACAACAAGCTAAGAACTATCTCATACTTTTGGAGATTATACAGGCGTATATCCCAAGTGAATCATAGCGCGGAACTGTTTCCTTGCTTCTTAGTGTCGTTTTCGAATGATACGTAACTTGTTAGCTAATAAAAACTTAGTGACAGAATTCTATATAGGATCTACTGCTACATAAATTGTGCAGTACAATAACCACGCGTTACGATCTGTAAAATGCAGCTGTTTCGTTTTACGCCCTTTTTGTCAAGAACAGCACCAGGTGACAGTAAGCATAAACGGTAGAAACGATATTGCTGATGCTTACATTTATCACCGTACTTGATATAATTGAGTCAAGGAAACTAAGAAAACAGTACGTGCTGTAAACAAACTATTTATAATGAAGATAAGAGTGATATCAAACAACAAAGGAAATAAAATGTATACGTTTTACAGTGATGTAAAATACGTCCACTCTAGTAAACTGTCACAGTAATAGGAGATTAATCCTATCTTGTGATAGCAAATTTGTGGCTCGAAATGTTTTCGAGTTTTCTGTGGATTATATACACCATTAAATATTAGGAAAACAGTTTCGTTACTGTTTACACCTTTGATGAATGGCAGACCACTCGTTCCATCCCTTCAAATAATACTTCGCCCTGAATACGTTACTCAACTATGAACATAACAAACCTTTTAAAGCCGAGATTGTGAGCTATTTCACAAGCACTTGCAGATGAAACATCTGATAATCCATAAAATATTATATTCCCGTCACTCGTTTTTGGCTTAGATACACCATATTTCTGAACGAATTCGCTATCACTGAGGGTAAGGGCTTTCTTCAAATCAACAACTGAGAAGGAGTTAATATGTAAGCGAAATACTTACGAGGTATATTAACGGAACCTGGGATAATGCCAGTGGACTTCACATCATTTCCATTTCTCACATCAAACAACTGGACAGTTCCTTCGGAAATTTGAGAGTTAAGTTCGTCATATGTAACGACAAATTTTGAACGAGAAACATCTATATGCGTTTTTATTGTGTTTTCCGAATTATTAACCTCGGTCTTTTGAGAAAGTTTCCTGGAGCTGGTAACCATACGACACAAAACCATATGAGAACACAGGGTATAGCTTTGAGACCCTCGGTATATGTGTGAAAATACTCGGGGTAGAATGGCGGCTGAATACGAGAAAGACCGGACCAATGACATTGTAAGAAAGACAACGAGATCTAGTCGTGTCCTTGTACTTTAAACTGTTGCCTGAAATTACAAGTGCAATTTAACAACTTTAAACCTTATTTATCTCGAAAAAGAGCTGTTTAGTTCTTTGAAATAAGCACACTGATGATTAAAAAATATTTGGGCATAGAAACACTGCGTTTTTTTGGTTTCTTGTGATACAGAAATTAGATTATTTGAAACGTCAAATAACGATGATTGTCGTGTGGGACTCGAGAACTGCTTGGTACCTAGGAACTTCGTCCAGGATATTAGTACAACGTACATGAGCCTTGCTTAAGTGAAGTTTGATAGTTTAGAATGTTGCCTAGTTTGTTAGTAAATTATGAGAAAATATGTTGTCATGCAATTGATCCCTATGGCAGTATATTTGTAACTGAAGCTCATTGAGGCAGAATAGTTGTAGACACAGATTAAGACATGGTTTTCATCACTTTCCTTTTAAAGCTTCAGTTTCTATCTGCAGAAAAGTTACTACGTATGATCAAATGGTCTGATTTCTAAGATCTTCACCAGTCATTATAAATCGATTGATTTCTGTGCATTTTATGCTTATTATTTCGGTAAGGTTCCAGGTGGTAGTCTAGCCGTCCTACTGCACTAATTCCATTCAGTTGGCAGTTATAAACATAATTTGTTTGTCCCATGATTTGAATGAATACGTTTGTTTCAGTTCAGTAGGGATCCCGGATAGCAGTGGCTATTGCATCACGAGGCCGAAGACCAGTTAGTTGCATTGTGGTGAACAACAAAATTCCAATGCTAAGGAGAGGATTAAAGAAGTAAGTCTAAAAATTCATAAGTTAATTACTTGGTAGCAAATATTTTTGCTAGTAATGTAATCTAGAGAGAGGAAACGTAGATAGATAGAGCAAGATAGAATATCTTAGTGATCTGAGGAGACATTAGGTAGCGGACCTCCATTGAAGGTGTTGATCTTCTGTGCCATGTTGGGAAGAATGTTCATTTCGACTAGTTTAGTTTTAACCCTTTTTCCACCGCCCATCGCTCAATAGATGTAAGGTCCTTTAGAAGCTCAGTTGAATCCTCTTGCCTCTTATGGACCTCCAGATATTTTCATCGTCTGCGCTGATTAGCACTGCTCAGCTCATTTTGTTTAACAAATCATTAACGGATAGAAGAAATATTATGGTCCTCTATGAAACTACTAATGCTTATGATCACCAGCTCCTGTACACTCTACTCACCATGGTGGGCAACTTTCTATTCTCAAAGTAGTTTCTGAGGCAAGACAGGAGTGGGTTAGTGAAGTTAGCTTTCGCAGCCTTTGCAATTAGGAGTGCGAAGGTTACCGTTTTGAAGGCTTTTGAAAGGTGAATAAAGTTCATGTTAACCTGCATTTTTCGGTGCCTTCAGTGTTGTCTAGCTGTTTCATCCGGTAAGATGTGTCGATGCACATAATCCACCTATCCTCAAACCGTATTGTTCTTGTACATATGGTCCCTCATTAACTGGTTCACCATTCCTTCTGTTACCTTCGGTGGTATTAGTAGTAATGCAACTGGTCTGTGGTAGGCATGAATATTCTTCATCTCCTGCTTTAAAGACTGGAGGGACAGTAGCTTCTTTCCATTCAGCTGGGAGTTGGTGTGACTCCAGTGAATGCTTGAGTAGGTCACTTGCCGGCAAACTGGAGGTTTATATTTACTGGTTCAAAAATATATGGCTAATACTTCTAGATCCTAGTGACTTTCCTGGGCACAGGGATTTTAGGTTTCTTAGTAATAAGTCAGTAGTAATTTGGATATTCCCTAGATTATCAGCTTTCCTAAGGCTTGAGTAGTTATTTGAACTTGAAATTACCTGATATGACTGATCGATGAAGTCAGTGTTGAAGATCTCAGCCATCTCTAGGTTGGTAAGGTCTTCGACATTAGGAACTTTGAGGGCAAATGCACCCTGGTTCATAGGTTCTTTAGTCAGGAACCTGAAATTATATTCTTAGTTTATTTGTAGTTTAGCGTCTCCCATCTTTTCTAACACTGGTATTTCATCTGTTTCGCAATGCAAGGTAAACGTCGGTCAAAGACGTTCAGAGTAACGTTGTGTTAGGCTCTCTGCCTGGCTTTACTCAAGTTCTTCTCCTTTAAGGTGTACGTAGTGTCTGTGGTACATGGCTTAGGACAGTATTTTGAATGATGCCTCTCACTGCTTCCCAGTGAGCATCTGCTGTTACCATTCACCATTACCGTGGCTATGACACGTTTAGGTAGGGCTCATTTTCGTCTTGTCTGAGTATTACCTTTATCACCATGTTAAACAAGACTACGCCGTAGTCGTCAGTTTCAGTTCGTGTGTGGACATAGACCTCCTCGACCAGGAGTCGATCAATTGTTAAAAATTAGTGCAAGTTTGAGGATTTTTTACCGTTAGTTCATCAAGTGGCGCTGCACACATGCTCATTCTGTCCGGAACATTTGATGGCTGCGTCAAGTTGCCTTTGGAACTGACCCGAGGGAACTGTACCCTGTTTGCTGAGATTTAGCGATGGAGTGTTGAAATCTGTAAATCAGGGTATTTGATCAAAACTATTAAGCCGTAGTTGCAGTATGGTCTCAGTAATTTATCTTTTTGTCTCAGATCTTGAGAGGGGCTCCTAGATCTCTCCTATCATTGATTTCGCGCCATTTGTGTTGGAGCAGCACGACCATAATGCCGTCACATCGGTTAGTTATGTGCCATGTAGTCTTTCGGCTTTGAAATGGGTGCAAACTAATGTGACCATTCTACCGCCTTTTTGTGTACGCTATCGCATCTGAAGTGTTATGCCTTGAAAACCCATATCGTCGTCTGAGGTGTTAGGGGATACTCATATTTCAATTACGATCATGATCTTCAGATAATTCTGAGATCACATATACCTGATCTCTAACATCTTGCATCTTATCATCCCTACGTGGCTGAGAAGACACTTGGCAGTTTTTCTCATCATCTGGTGCACCTTTATAGCACCAGTATTTGTCGGAATTTCAACTAAGTTGTACAAAAAGAGTTGGTCATCTCTGTGGAAACAGGCTGCTGCAGATTTTCTGCTTGTGTTGTGTATTCATTCCGCGACACCATGATCTTCATTTCTTGACCCGAGGATTTTTGATGAAGGTTCTAATTTTTGGAGGCTCTTATTTTTGCTTCAACGTTTTTTCATGGATCTAGATCGGCTCTAACATGAATAGAAAGATCATTTTCCATGCTGTATGTTACGGGAGGAATGAAGACATTTTGCTGATCAAAACCTTTATATATAAATATCATTAATTTCACTGTGTTTTTTGGGTATATTTGTTTTACTTAACTTATGAACTTGTTTGAATTATTATTTTCGGCCATTTTGGACTCCCGTTTCTCTTGGTTGTTCGTTTGCAGTTTTTTGCTCCAGAAACCTATAAATTGAAGGTAATAGTAATTATTATAACTATTGTTGTTAGAACGACATTGGTCGTCTATTTGTAATAAACATATTTTGGTCGATTTTGTGATTTGGAATAAACTCTGGTATCTACTTTGGAATTTCCTTTTGGTTTAATATTTGGAATCGTGAATTGCAAATAGATCGACAACTGTGCTTCTAAAGATCAACGAGCAAAAAACTGGACGTAACACTGTATCAATCCTGGAGCGTCTAAAAGTTCACAACCAACAGAAGTCGAGATTTGACAGTCGTATGGTTTGATGGATGATGCAAGCGGGAAACGCTAATTGCCGTGGTTGTCTGAAGGCTTGCTCTATGTATAAAGTGATATTTACTCTTGCAGTTCGCTCCAACTCGGATAGTGTAGGTTCATACGCGTCTCACACAGTCAAGGACAAAGAACGATAATTCTGGGAGAAAACGGTTCTATTTTAATTAAAAAGGGAAATACAGACAATTACCAAAAACAATATTACACCTTCGAGTTTCCAATTACCACAATAGGTTCCGTTGCTGGGAGAATAAGTGCTTCCAGTCCGTTACTGCTAGAGTATCAAATCCAAAAATGGCTGTAGCCATATTAAATATCAAATTTAAACAACATATGTACAGTTCAGAAGGAAACATAAAAACTTCAATATAAGTACAAGATATGGAAATAATAACAATATACAATGATAAAATCTCAAAAGGGAATCAAATAGAGTACCAAAATATCAACAGAAAGAGTCAGTCATATCATAACACAAAAATATATACATGGAGGGATTTTCCAAAAAAACTTTCAAAATAGATTCTACACTATGTGATAACCGTCGTCACTGATGCACATCATGTGCATGAGCATCACAGAAACTACCACCAACCAGCTCAGGCACTCCATGAATCACTATACGGGTCTGCCATTGAAGGCCTTTCGCGCTCCTGAAATCTGCTCATACTAACCATGGTTTGTCCAGCCGAACTCAGATCGAAGAGAACTGTTTAACCAAGGTTCTCTCAGATATTAGGAGGATTTCTTAGCAACTTGTGAGGTGTTTAAAATTGCCCTTAACTGGGGGTTCCACATAAACGATGATCTGGCCCTTGGAAAGATAGCACAGTTTTGCCAGGGTACTGATAACTGAGTTTCGTTTGATATCCCAGCTCCTGATTTGTAGCGTTTTCGAAGATGTGGTGTCAGCATTTCTTTTTCTTTCACTCACCCACTACTCCTTACTGTTAACACATACTGATGAGTTTAAAACAACTGGGAGTTCCGTTGATGTATTAGTTGCGTCTTAATTTGTCGCTTGTTTGGTCGGTTTTCTGGTGGGCCAATTTGGTTTACTTGGTGGACGATTGGTAGATAATTCTAGGTGGGGACTGTAGCTTTGCTACTTCTTATTTTTCTGTCTCAGTGATTCTGCTATGTGGACAAACATACTAGAACCACGGACAGAGGTAACTTAACATGATCGCATTGTACTGCCGTGCCTCTGAGACAGTGAACTCATGCACTGCAGAAGTTGGAGAGCCAGTGGTCTTAACTGTCAGCAAGCAGGCGATACAATTATCCTTGTATGCTTTCTGAAAAACAGGGTATGTTGTTTGAGCCTTTTTCTCTTATTCTTATTTCGCCTTGTGGCCTTACAAGGAGTATGAATCTGAGGAGTTTCGTCCTGGTTTCTTTGTTAAAGACCCACTAAAGGTGTTTGTGTCGAGTGAT